GAGATACTGGGGGGGCGGGGGGGGGGGGGGGAGGTAGCACATGCAGGGCATGAGGACGAGAAAGAAAGGAAAGGCGTAGTCGAATGGAAGGAAGACTACAGAACTGAAAGAATGGGGGGGGGGAGTGCGGACAATATAAAATATGTTTGAAAAAATCTTTCCCATTAAATCCAACAAGAGGTCACGTGGCAAAGAAAAGGCACATCCGCCTCTCCGACACCAGGGGAGCCCTCATGCATAACCACGCCCACTCCTCCTCATGTCACGTGACAGGGAGTGCGGTCGTAATTTCAAACCCCCCACCCTCTGTGTCTACGAGCGCGAGAAAGAAAGAGACGCTGCCGCATACACAACCGTACGAAAGATTTTTAAAAAAATGCGTGTGTGTGTGTGTGTTTTTTTAAAAGGGTCATCACATGACGTGGGCCACAGAGTGATCACGTGACAGAGGCCCCGGGCCCTCCGAAACATGGCGCTGTCCATGGCGGCTTCCACCGCACCGGGCTAGGCAGTGCGGCCAGAGGCCGCATGCGCAGAGGGGGGTGGTGGCATCCAGTGAGGAAAGGAGGTGAGAGGGGGGATGGGGGGTCCTGAGGAAAGGGTGGGGCGTGGGAAGGGGGTGCCTAGGAGAGATGGGGCGGCCGAGGGGCGGCAGAGGTCGCCTGGGGCCCCAGACAGGGGGGAGCCACAGGATGTATGCTGGAGGGAGACGGGGGGCTGCACTAGCCAGGAGGAGACCCCGAAGAGGAGGTCTTGCGGGGACCAGGTGGGGCCCTCAGGCCTAGCGGGAGCCCAGGGGCCCCAGAAGCTGCAGCTGAAGGACGTGGGCACCCAGGTGTCTTGGGGTCCAGGCAGGGGGGGCGTTGAGAACGGGGGGACCCAGGCGTCAGAGGGGCCTCCGGCTGTGGGGGCTGCCCAGGGGGAGCGTCCCAGTGAGGGCCGGACCGGGAGAGTCGAGATGGGCCAAAGGGCCGTTCGTTGGTCGGGCGCCCGCCCCAGCAGTGCAGAGTTCGGGGGCTTGAGGCTGTGGGGTGGAGACCCTGCCAAGGCTGGCAGTGAGAAAAGAGACAGTTGCGAGGGGGAGCCCCGAGAGAGAGACGACTCTGGGGGGTTCTGCGACTCTTTTGTGGTCCTGACTGCAAAGGGGGACAGCCCCCAAAGTGTGGGGACCCAGCAGCCCTGTGTGGTGCGCCCAGAGGCTTGGGAACTGGGGGTGGGTCAGCCCGGGGAGGTCAAGGGAAGAAGGGGTGAGGGGGTCCGAGCAGGGGGTGTCAGCAGCAGCCGGAGCTTTGGGGGCATCTCCAGCCACGATGGGCCCAGGCGGGACCCTGTCAGAGGGGCCGCAGTGTGGGTCCATAAGGAGTGGTGCAGGGGACCGGTGGAGGCTTCAGGTCAGGTGTGGGTCCCTCGCAAGCCAGGCAGGGCCTCCCAGGGCGTGGGGCTCAGCTGGTCACAGGGCGGGGCCGGCCACCCAAGGAGGACAGGCGGTTGGGAAGCAGAATCCGGAGGGGTGGGTGGCAACTCAGACCTCAGCCAGGTCTGGATCCCCAGGGAGAAGCCAGCTGCTGCTGGAGGAGGTCCTGGGGACGTCTGGGTGCACAAGGTGCGGAACCCCTCGGGGGCTGGGGTCATGTGGGTGTGGGCCCAGGTGACCAACTGTAACGAAGAGGAGGTGGAGGAAGCCAGGGTGTGGACCTTTCGCAAAGAGGGCCCTAGGAAAGGCGGGCAAGGAGAGGGAGGTTACGGGGTATCTTAAAAAGGGGAATGTATCTGGGAGGGGGGGCAGGGGTTGGGGGAGGGTGATACTACAGTCTTACATGTGTTGGGGGGAGACGAAAGGCTAGGGTCATCTTTTTGGGGGGGAAGTGCTAGGAATTGTTGGGGTTCAGGTGGAGGAAATCCTGTCTAGAGGGGTGGGGAAGGGAGGTCTAGGGGAGAGGAAGGGAGGAAGAGAGGCCTTGCTGGAGGATTCCTGGGGTGGAGACACCCCAGTTCCCTTGAGAGAATCTGGACTCTGGGGGCAGTGGCGGCTGCTGCCACCAGGGGAGGGACCGGAGGCAAGTCACATCCGGCTGCACGGGTAAGTCGGGGTCCGGAGGCTCCCGGGGGGACCTGAACGGACCGCGCGCTGTTGCATGCCAGGGTAGGAGGTGGTGGTTGGGCTGGGTAGGTTGGCAGACAGATAACTGGAAGGGCAGAAATGTGCATGAAGGGTTGTGTGGCAGTGGTGTTTGGGGTCGTCTGCCTTTGAGTTTGGGGGATTTCTTTCCTTGGGTTTTGGGGTTCCATGTCAAAGGAGGGGCAAGATGGCTATCTGGGGCCCAGGTCTTCTAAAGCCTGAGATTTGGAACAGGAATTTTCCCCCTTTCTCTTTCCTGATGGGCATCAGCTCTCTGCTTTCAGTTCTGCTTTCACAGGAGCTGTGTCTAGTTCTCTAATCACCTTTATGGCTGGAAAAGAAATTGCACGGCCAATGTGTAGGGGTGAGCACTGGACGGATCTAAGAGGCTATTGCAGTATAGTCTGCCTTTCTCACTGAGACTGAAGGCAGATTACAGACTACCGGAAGTGAAAAAATGTAATCATAACAATATAGGACATCCCGTGAATTTACGTAATGGACCTAGGAATACAGAACTGAATGACAATGCAAGCAACAGTGCAATAATACAGTACAAAACAGAGAATCATGGAGTTGGAAGGGGCCATACAGGCCATCTAGTCCAACCACCTGCTTAAAGCAGGATCAGACTAAAGCTTCCCTGACGAGTGTTCATCCGGCCGCTGCTTGAAGACTGCCAGTCACCAGTGCGATAGGACTAGGCGTACAAAATCTCAGTGGCAAAGGAAGTGGAAGTAACCTGCATTGTGTCTCATGTGAAAGCAGTCTTTGAGTGGGGAAGCAGGATTACAAGCTGGTACACTCTATGGTACTATGGATATGCCAAGGGTGAGGTTATATGCAGTGGCCTGACATGGGGTGCATGAAGGTGTGGGAGTCCTTCTCGCTTACCCTTTTCTCGTACATGCTCAAGGGAGGAAAGGTTTGTGTTTTCAGGGGTGCTGCTGAGCCAGCCTCTTCCCCTGAAGCTTTGAGGGTAGGAAATGAAACTTCCATCCTTGGGGCACTCTTCCCTGCTGCAGGGGCTTCCAAGATGCAAGCGAGCCGGGGAGCAGCGTTGCTCACCCTTGCCCTGTGGGCACTCTGTTCGCCAGCACTGAGCACGGAAGGCAAACGGAAGCTCCAAATCGGAGTCAAGAAGCGGGTGGACAATTGCCCCATCAAGTCCCGAAAGGGAGATGTGCTCCACATGCACTACACAGTGAGTACTGCTCCTGTCTCACACAATGGCCAACCAGTTCCTCTGGAGGGCCCAAAGCAGGGAATACAGGTCAAGGCATTCTCCTGATGTTGCCTCCTGGCACTGAGATTCAGAGGTTGACTGCCTCTGAACCTGGAGTTTCCCTTTAGTCATCAAAAGGGGACATGATTTGTCAAGTACGTATCCGACGGATGATCCCCCCCCCCCCCAAGCTGGTGTAGCACACTGGTTGAGAGGCTGAGCCCTGAACAGTTGAAAATAACAGTGTATTGTGTGGTGTGTGTGCATTCAAAGTAGGAATCAGAGACTGGAGCTGCTCCCCCCCCCCTCCCGAGCTGGTGTAGCACACTGGTTGAGAGGCTGAGCTCTGAACAGTTGAAAGTAACAGTGTATTGTGTGATATGTGTGCATTCAAAGAATGAATCAGAGACAAGCTATGAGACTGGCGGTTGCCTGATGGGTGGAGTTAAGAATATTTTACTGAAAAATGGCAGCGAGTGATCCAATGTTAGGAAAAAAAGATACTTTAAAATGAAATTAAAATTCTGTCCCCAATTCTGTGATTGGAAAATTCTGCAACCCTTGGAGAACTGAGCATGTTTGCACGATTCCTCTTTTAGGAGGAACCGTGTCCCTCTCTGACCTGCTCTCTTACCACAGAAAATCTTCAGTTTTGTCTCTGGCTGCTGAGATTTCACCATTAAATGCCCACTTAAAAGAGTGTCTTCACCTCCCTAAGGACTAGAATCTTGGTTTTTTTAAAAAAATAGCTGCATAAGATTCTGCACCAGGTCCGTGTTTTCCCTTTGCAGAATCACAGCAGCATCCCTGCCCGTGTTTCAGCCACACACCCTAGCTGACCAAGGGCTGGTCCACACGTGACGAGACAGTGTAGTGTAGTGGTTAGAGCATCAGGGAGACCTAGGTCCAAATCCCCACTCTGCCACAGAAGCTCCCTGGGTGATCTTGGGCCAGGTGCTCTCAGCCTGACCTACCTCACAGGATGAGGGTAAAATGGAATGGTGGAGGATTCTGGCATCAGCCACTTGACCTGATTCGTTTCGGCCTGTATAGGCCTTCTTCAGAGGTCAAACACAACAGGGCACAAATTGGCTTATATCACAATACAATACAATTATACAACATGGATACAAAATTGACCAGAAAAGAATTGTTCCAAAGTGAAACCACTAGGCACAGAATAAAAGTATAAACGAGGCCTCCAAAGATGCAATCCCATGCCAAATGATATTTCACTATCTTGTAATTATACGTAATGTGTTTTATAGTAGCTGTTTGTACGTTTGGCTTAAGACCTCTGGTCAATGAAGCTAATAAAGGAAAGGAAAGGAAATGATATTTCACTGATGATAATTTCTGGTCCAGAAAGTGCCTTTCCAATGATTGTTTAGTTCAAGCCAAAGCGTCCTCAGAAAAATTGTCCCTTTAGCAAAGAGCCGAAACGCGTCAGGTCAAGTCTATTGGCCCTTGTGTGTAAGATTTTGGTATTTTTATATGAGGTGTAATTGGGCCCTTATATGTTTTTTTTTAATTCTTTGCTAATAAATACATGTATTTTTATATTATATACATTATAAGTTTTTATTGTTGGCCCTGTACTCTGTTTGACGTGCCTCTTTAGGTTCTTGATCCCAGGTTTCAGGGTTAAGTTTGTTCCCTCCCCTCTTTTTTTGCGAAGAGTCGGACTCGACTGTGCGACTGAACAACAAAAAATGTGTAATGGACCACTGTAGACACAGTGTTCACATCCATCTCCTTTCCTTCTTGAGCACAGGGAAAGGCAGTGTGCAGATCCTTAAGCTAAAAGAAGCGTGTCTCTCATTGGATTTTTTTTTACCGCAGCAAGCTGTGAGTCATCAGGTACCCGTGAAGCTGACTTTAGCTGTAGCTGAAATTCCCTGGGGACCCTCCACTGTGGAGACAGGGGCACCTGTCTAAGGGTAGCAACCATAGGGTGTCCGTTGTTAAAGAAAACACCACTCACGGCCCTGATCTGGATAGATAGCCCAGGCAAGCCCAATCTCCTCAGATCTTGGAAGTTACGCAGGGCCAGCCCTGGCAAGTGTTTGAATGGGAGATCTCCAAAGAATACCAGAGTTGGGAGGCAGAGGCAGGCTATCTAGGCGCTTCTCTGGATGGCCTCCATGCAACCGTAGGAGTCGCCAGAGGCTGACTTCCAGGCACACGTACCTACGCACGCACGCACGCGCACACACACAAAGTGCAAAAATAACAAGAAAAAGAAAGCACCACTCCCTCTAACTGGCATCATCCCTTCCTCCCACCCCCTAACAGGGAAAGCTGGAAGATGGGACCGAATTTGACAGCAGCCTGACCCGCGACCAGCCGTTTGTCTTCACCTTGGGGACTGGGCAAGTCATTAAAGGCTGGGACCAAGGACTGCTTGGGTGAGTCCTGCTCCCAGCCGGGATTTGGGCTGCTGGGGGAGGCCAGGACTTGACTGCTTCAAGACGACTGCTGGTGTTCAAGCAGTGAAAGAGCACAAACAAAGTTTCCCTTGGCAGTGAACGTGAAGTTGCTTTGTACCACGTCCCTCTAGCCCAGTGTCCTCTGTTCGGCAGTGACTCTCCAAGACCAGGGTCCCTAGCCTTTGTGAGCCTGCGGGCACGTTCGGAATCCTGACACGACATGGTGGGCACAACAAGAAAACGGCTGCCGCAGGAAGTAGAGCCAGCCACAAAATGATAGCCACAGCTTAATTTCAGTAACACCGTGCAGATCCACCACAGCAACCTTTTAAGAACGCTGCACAGCCGGTCAAATCTCCAGTAGTCAAATCAGAAACCCTGTTGGGCAGAAGCCGGTTGCAAGTGCAAATTTACTCCTAATCTACGGCCACATAGTACAGGGGGTGGGGCTACCTACCGGCACCCAGGTGGCGGGCTAGTTGTTCTTTGGGCATCAGAAACCATGTTGGGCAGAAGCTCTAAACGGCCCCACCCACTCCCTAAAAACATTTGGCTGGTGCCCAAAAAGGTATCACTAAGTGCCATGGCACCCATTATTTATTTAATTAATTAATTAATTTATACCCTGCCCTCCCTGCCATGGCAGGCCCAGGGCGGCTTCCATAAATTAGAGTATTGCACAACTAAAACAGATTTAAATAGAATCATTATATCATAATCATAACAATATACGTATAAAAACATACAAAGTGCTAGCGCTGCAATAGTTTGTATGCGATGGGCGGTAGCAGCATCCAACGGAACATACAGTCAGCGAACATCATAGTCCGGGCTACATCTGGCTGTACTAAAGATGTTAACACTTAATATCAACATTGATATTGCTGTTGATATTGATATTCCGGCCAGGGCCTAAATATATATAGCGTGGCTCCCTAGTCAAAGACCTGGTGGAAGAGCTCTGTCTTGCAGGTCCTGTGGAACTGTGAAAGGTCTTCTGGGAGCTCCACGCTGGGGACCCCTGCTCCAAGATTTCAGTCAAAAAACACAAAAACACCCTCAGCGCTGTTATCTGAGTTGTCTTAAGGGGAGATTAAAACTTGTACTTTTTGCACACAAAGCATAACTGTGCAGAGGCTCTGGCAAAGAAGGCTCTTTAATTGGAGATGCCAAGGACTCAGCCTGGCATGAGCTGCCCCCCACCCCCCGACGAATGCCCTTCTCCTGAGCTTTAGCCGGTGTCAGCATTTCAGCTTCCTTTCTCCAGGGGATTCTGGGAGATACTTTTTCCTTTGGCAATGATGACAAGCCCGAGCTTTGTGCTTTCTTTGTTTTCCTCCCAGGGTGAGATTCTAGTCCTCATGGTTTTTAAAAGGTCAGCGCACTAACAGTACTGTCTCTTTGGTCGTAGGATGTGCGAGGGTGAAAAGCGGAAGCTGGTGATTCCCTCTGAGCTGGGTGAGGAGACAGAAAACGTGCTAAGGGCTGGGGTGCGGGAAAGGCTTTCAGGGCTCTATGGTTCAGAGCCAGGCTTTTTTTTTGGAGGGAGGGGTAGAGTCTGGCACTTTGCCACTTCTGAGGAGCCCTGCTACACTTCTGAAATGTGGATATGGTTGCTCTGGTGGGCATTGTCTTTGGGCCTCAGGAATGACTTTACTTCCGTCTTGTCTGCTCACAGGTTATGGAGACCGGGGAGCACCACCCAAAATCCCAGGTAAATATTCTACACTTATCCCCTTTTGCCAAACAAAGGGGGAGGGATGGCTCTGGAATTTTGCAGAGATAGCTGCTGCTTTGTGAGCAAAGCACTTCCATAGCCTGCCACCTGTCCCAGCCCTCAGAGTACCAGGAAAACAGCAGGAAAGGGTTGGAAAATGAGTCGCCGTGCTAACTCTGGAGCCCATCAGTTTTTTGCAGGGCCCAGACAGCTTTCCAGACATGACATGTGTTACTGTTGGGCAAGAGTAGCTGAGCTGGTCTGCAGCAGAAAAGCAGGATTCAAGTCCAGTAGCACCTTAAAGACAAGATTTTTTTTGTGGTATAAGCTTTCGAGAATCAAAGCTCCCTTCACCAGATCTGACTCTCAAAAGTCTATACCCTGGAAATCTTGTTATCTTTATGGTGCTACCGGACTCCGGTCTTGCTGTTGGATGTGAGGAACGGGACGGGTGATATCTTGCTGTTGCTTCCCCTCTCTTCATTTCTCTCTCTCTCTCTCTCTCTTTCTCTTTCCCAGGTGGTGCAACATTAATCTTTGAAGTCGAGCTGCTGAAGATCGAGCGACGGCAGGAACTGTAGCTACGTCTCTTGGGGGGAAGGGGGCACGGGGAGGGGCGGGAGGGATCTGCAGAAGTGGCTGTGGAAACAATGACATCGATGGGCCAAATAAAAGCACAGACCAGAGTTGTATCGTGGCTGCAAGAGGCGCGTCGGCTGGCAGGGAGGACGGGCGGTGCCTCTGTAGGCAACGGGAGGGGAGCGTGGCCCTGTGGCTCCAGGTTTTGTAGCCAAGGCCGGTTCTCCAGCCAGCGAGGAGGACACCGAGAGGCGGAAGGGGCTCAGCTCACTCCAGGCCATTGGCTGTGTGGAGCAGGTGAAGGGTGTTTCTTCCCAGACTTGCAGGGCTGCCAGCTGAATCCAGGCTATTGCTCCAGAATCTTAGCTTCGACCAGACCTGCAGCTGTGAGGGTGGTGGCAACGAGTGTACCAAAATACTTTGAACTGCCTCCTGTTTTGGGCCCTTCTGGCATCTGTAGAGGGGAGTCACTTGGTGGTGGAGCACATGGCCTGCCCTGTAGAAACTGTTTCTGTTTGGTATGTTTCGCCAGGAACCCTGGAGGTTTTTTGTCATCTTCTGGGCATGGAACAGGGGTCACTGGGTGTGTGTGGGGGGGAGGTATTTGTGAATTCCCTGCATTGTGCTGGGGGTTGGGACTAGATGACCCTGGGGGTAACTTCCAATTCCATGATTCTATGTGGCATTTCCAGTTAAAGGTGCTGCCAGTCAGAGTGGAGGCAGACCAATAGACTGAGCGCTGACCCTGGTGGCCCAGGCTAGCCCGATCTGGTCAGATCTCAGACGTTAAGCAGGGTTGATCCTGGTTCGTGCTCGGATGGGAGGACACCAAGGAAGTCCGGTGTTGCTGCACAGAGGAGGGCAACGGGCAAACCACCTCTGAATGCCTCTCGCCTCGAAAACCCTCTGGGGTCGCCATGAATCTTCTGTGACTTCAGCGATTTCCACCAATAGGCTGAGTTTGTATAGGGCACCTTTATATGTTCACATATATTAGAATATTTCTATGCAGCCTTTCCCTGTGGCGGCTAACAACCCCCTTCCCCCTCCTTAAAGACAAAAAAAAAAAGCCTGCCGCCACATTCCATTAAAAGGCCTGGCATCAGTATCCATCAGCCCCCACCTTGATGGTACTGGCGCTGGCCATGCTGGGCTGCTTTGTTGTTGAAACCGGGGATGACTGGCTTGAGTCTGCATTCTCACCGGAAAGATGATCAGGCAGTTTTTCCCCTACTTCCACAAGGAAGAACTTACTCCAGAATGGTATAAATTCTTCCCCCTGCACAGGGGAATCAGTAACTTGGCCATCCCAGAGTCTCTCACCACCAGGGGTATGTTTAGGTAGTGTGCGATATGCAGAATGGACACTGTTCTTTGTAGCTGGTCACAGGAAGCCCAGGAAAAGGTAAGAGTTGGGGACCAAGACATTCTTTGGGCGTGGGTAGGGAACCTGCGTGGCAGAAGCCAGCTCATCAATCTTGGCGTGGTGCCCAGCCAGGCAAAAAGCTGCCTTCAGCTTGTATGAGGGTGCACCTTTCCCAGAGTCCTTTGCACCAACGCCTGACTCAAAGCACGGGATCCCTGAGCAATGGCAGAAGGAACCCTGGGGCTTTTTCTTCATCTGTGTTGCGCACACTGCCCGGCAGTAGTCCCTCAGGCGCACTTCACACGGTGGAGGGTTGTGTATGTGTGTGAAACGGAAGCCCTCCCTGGCTTTGTGGTAACTCAGCAGAGAGCAAGGGGAGTTCCATCCACATGGGGGAACAGGGTAAGCAAAGCATAGTAGCAACAGCTGAGCTTGTATGTAAAACAGTGATGAGGCATAGGGTGCGCTTCTCCAGTGAGCTGCTAACATGAACAGCCCTGGACTCCTGCCAGTATTGTCTACTGTTAGAAGAACAGTGGTTGTATCACTGTGGAAATCATGGGGAACGGGTCTTTATGGATTACTCTTGAATAGCTGTTTCTTGCCTTCTTGGAGAAAGAGGAGGCCCAGTTAAGCTGTTTTGAGCTTTCTCTGTGCTTCCATTTGGCATAAATAATCTCTTTGATTTAAAAAGTTGTGCCTAATTTTGCAGTGTGGAAGGCAAGTAAATTTGCATATGCAGAGTAACTTCCTGACTAGCGCACTGGCAGATTAAAAAGTCACCTTGAATGTTTCAGCCATGACTGTTCTCCCCCCCCCCAATTTGGGGTGATTTTGCCTTGTAGTTTACACCCTGGTCTCCTAGTCAGACGCGCTAGCCAGTTGCTTCCTGAACCCACAACTAAAAACGTAAGATGTTGTCGTCTGTCACGTGTTCCACACTTGTACAGGCGTGTAATCGCGTCACATACGACTGACTACTGTGAGCCTCAGGCCTCCTTTTCTTAGCAAGACCAGGGCCCTTCTTGGAGAAAGAGGAGGCCCAGTTAATTACAGGCGTGTAATTGCGTCACATACGAATGACTACTGTAAGCCTCGGGCCTCCTTTTCTTAGCAAGACCAGGGTAAAGGACCCAGCTGAGGGCTGCGTAAATCCTCTGGTGGAGGGGTGGCTTTGTTGACAAAGTTAACAAGGGAGGCCAGGGAATGCCTGTCCCTTCCTCAGGAAATCCCCTCTGGCCCCCAGTGAGAAAATATCTCGGCCTGCTTATGAGGTAAGGAATTCAAGGGAAGGGGGGAGGCCTGGTGGCAGTAAAGTAGTTGCAGCTGAAGTCAGTAATGGAGACACCTGTTTTTTAGGAGTCCACACACACCCCTTTTGGCACGATAGGCGAAGGAGGCCCAGCCTCACCCTCAGGCAGAAACCTTTGGGGGAGTGTTATTTATTTTACCCTCTTGGCTCATAACGTGGAAGCAGGACTGAGCCTGTGAGCATCAACCCCTTCCCCTCAGGAGTGCAGGGTGGGCCTCCTGTGGTCTCGGTACCGGGGCGGGTGTTAAGCCTGTGGTAAGGCTCCACTCTGCTCTAGTACACTTCTCTCTCCCCCCCCCCAATCTCTAAATTAATAGGTGCTTCTGTTTCAAATGTGGCAGTGGGGAGAATGGAAGGCCCTGAAGCCACGTGGAAGGAGCAAGGCACTACCGATGTGGCCTCCAGGCCAGGCACTTCGCCTCAGCAGGGTGACTTCAGGCAACAAACACGAAGGCCGATTCGTTCCAGGCCCCACAAGACATTCTTTCCGCGCTGTGTTTGAGCCAGCCACAGACCCAGGGAGGGGCAAAGCTGGTCACAGCCCCACTGGGGCCACGTTGCTAACTCTGGGACCTGTGGCACAGTGCATAGTAGGCGGGCCTCTGGCTTGTCGTCTGTGTATTCCCACCTCAGAGTTCTCTGCAGACAGTGAACCGGGGAAGGGGAGGTCGATAACCTCACATTTCCAAGCCAGATTAACCAACTCAGAATATCCCTTGTTATGTAGATAATGTGAAAATCAGGGCATCAGTACATACCTGGGTGGTGTATATTAGGTATGGGTGGGTGAAGTATACCTCTTTATCATCCCGGTTGGCACCATAAATACGCATAGAAGGATTTTAAGCTGTCTTGAATGAATTTATGCGACTCTCTCCCTCCGCCCACCCCCCTTTTAGAGGCAGAAATTAAGCTCTTCTTCTCAAAGCATCTTTATTAAATTTATATAAAAACACAATTTAAAAAAAACCTCAAAAACATTCTAAAAAAAATTTCAAGATCCTACCCTTCTCCCCTCACTCTCCTTCCACCACCACCCTCCACAGGGTGTATCTCCCCCCCCCCCAAACACACAAGCAGAGGGGAAACCGTCAGGGAGGAACAGGTAGATATTGCTGAAAAAGGTGTCCAAGATGGTTTTGATTATCGAAGCATTCCCCAAAAAAGAGGGTCTCCCCAATCTTTCATGGGGAGGGGAAGCAATAACTGATTCTCCACCAGCCTCCCGGTCCATTGTGAAACTGACCCCCTCCCTCAAACAGCAGAGTTTTAATAACCTCCACCTGGAGGGAGGGGGAGGGTACAGTGGTGGAAGACCCCTGTTCACAATTCACTTCTTCTGCGGAGTGCTTAATTTCTGCATGCCACGGATCTTGTCTAGCAAGTCTGCTACAAATGCCTAGAGAGGAAAAAAACACAGGAAGGGTTTGGGGGGTCATCGAGGTACAGCAACACTTCCAGATTTATAATCGCATCAAGCAGTCTCTGTGTATGTTAGGTGCCATCAAGTCGTTTCCGACTTATGGCGGCCGTATGAAGTAATGTCCTACAAAATGTCCTATCACTGACAGCCTTGCCCAGGTCTTGCAAACTGAGGGCCTTTGTGGCTTCCTTGTCTGAGTCAAGCCATCTCATGCTGGGTCTTCCTCTTTTCCTGCTGCCTTACACTTTTCCAAGCATTATTATATTTTCCGGTTGACTCTCGTCTTCTCATAATGTGACCAAAGTACAATAGCCTCCGTTTAGTCATTTTAATTTCTGGGGAGCGTTCAGGCTTGATTGTCAACCAAGTTGGGTGTAGAGTGACACTGGACAATCTGACTCCAGACTTGTGGAATCCACTACCACGAGACGTTCACGATCACCTTACATGCAATGTAGCAGACCTATTAGTCAGGATAATGAAATGGAACCTCCATCTACAGAGGCAGTATTTCAGATACTGAAGACAAACGGGAAGGTTCCTGTATCAGTCCCTTGCTTTTGCACTTCCCAGATAACAGTGAGCTAGTGTTACAAACCAATGCCGGGATGCAGTTGACCTTAGATCTGAGCCCAAAGGTCTGCTGTTATGAGGTAGGATAATGGAGCCACTGCGTTCAGAGGCAGTCTACCTTGAAATACAAGAGGCTGGGCATGAGCAACAGGGAAGGGCCTTTGGGACTGCCTTCAACAGCCTGGTGAACTTCCCAGCAACATCTGGTTGGTTGATGGAGGGGGGAGGATTGCTGATTAGAAGGACCTTTGGTCTAAGCGGGGGTGGTGGTGGTGGCTCTTGCCAACTCATTTCCCCTTCCAAGGAGCAAGTGGTGTAAATAAGACTTCTCATTTCCTGCACCAAAAACCCACCTTTCCTCTCCGCCTTGCCTCCCGCCCCTCCTGAAAGCAACATTCTTGATTTGCGCAATTCGGGGATGGTGGGGAGAAAAGCTACGCAGCCCCTCCCCCTGACAGGTGCATCCAGGGAAGAGGACTTCACTCCCCTCTGGGGAAGGGAGGAAGAGAGGTGGGGGAGAGGCAGCTGCTGCTTTTTGACTTCTCCAGGCTGCTACAGCTGCCAAGGGAAGACTTGGGAGAGAACCACCTCCTTTGCAGGGGAGGGGGGGGAGTGAAAGGACATGGGAACCTGATAGTTCGGTCATGGGAAGGGGGAGGGTTAAGAGGGCAACACTCACCTCTGTGGGCTTGTAACAGTCCACCAGGAGCTCCTGTTAAAGAGACAGGCCAGTATTCAGAGAGGGTCATCTCCCCAGGAATCCTTTCCCAGCCTATTCCAACTGCTCAGCCCCCCCCCCCCTCCATCCCAGGAGCATTTGAAGCCTCTGAAAGCCAGGCTGCCCCACCAAAAGCAGCCGGGGGTGGTGGTGGTGCCAAATCAACTTTGCACTGCCTACCTTCACCCTGGCGCTGCGGGCCTCATCGCTTTCCATGTCCAGCAATTCGTCAACATCGATTTCTAATTCTGGGATCTCCTCTTCCTGCAGAGAAACAGAAACAAACAAAGATGCACATGGATTTTGGACACAGAAAGGGATAATACTCGGCTAGGGAAGAAAGGAGGGTTTTCCTTGGGACCATCGAGGTGGGAGAGGCTTGCTTTACGGTCAGGTCTCTGCCCCACTCAAAGTTGGAGGAAGAGTGTGCCCCAATGGCCAGTCTTGGAGGGCTAATGCAGTTATGGGGCTGGAGAGAATTATGCCTTCCCCCCACACACACCGGAAGGCACAAGCCAAATTGTCTAAAGAAGGGAAGGTGTATATTATGGGGGCACTGCTCTACCCCCATGGAAAGAGGACATTCATCTTTGTTTAGTACATTCTTATTTATTTAAAACATTTTAATGCTGCCGTCCCATCCGATCAGGGTCCTTCCCTCTGAGGAGATGAAGGCTGCATACATTGTTCTCCCTCCATTTTATCCTCACAACATCCCTGTGAGGTAGGTTAGGCTGAAGGAGAATGACAGGCTCAACATCACCCAAATGAGCTTCTGCAGCACAATGGAGATCTGAACCTGGGTCTCCCAAGTCATAGCCCAGCACTCTAACCACTGTACCACACTGTCTCCAGTAGTGTAAATTGCTCCCTCCCAAGGAAAAAAAGATATGTCCTTTTTAGCTTCTCCAGATTAATGCACAGCTCCGTAGAAAACGGTTTGCCCTGTTGTGTGCAGTAGGGGAGTATAGGTAACCTAGAAGTGTCATGTGGTGAAGTAGTTGAAGTATCTGACTAGGCTCTGGGAGAACCAGGTTCAAACACAGTCTGCAGCAGAAGCTCACTGAGCAACCCTGGGCCAGTCACTCAGTCCCTCCCTAATCAACCTCACAGGGTTGTTGTGAAAAACTGAGCAAGATGACAAGCAGTCGCAAGCCACTTCTGGGTCTCTACCAAGAGGAAAAGAGCAATATAAATATCTAAATAAATGGTTTGAGCCCATCCTCCATTTCTTTCTCAGGACTGACTGCAGCTTTTGTTCTTCCGTATCCCCTGGCCAGGTGGGGGGGGGGTTTGTTTTTTGTTTCTCACCCAACAGCCTTCCCCTTTCTTGCCAATTCTGCCCCCCTCTCCCTTGGTCTCATGTTATAAACATTCTGGGCCAGAACTATGCCACCTTTGCACCCTATTCTATACTTGCTGTAGCATGGAAGTGGACTGTGCTGGGGATGGTGAGAGGTGCCATTTTAAATCTTTCTGTGATTAAAGAACAACACCGACCTAAGAAGCTATGGATAAGTGGTAGAGGTGCTACTCCTTGTCCTACCATTCTTCTGAGCACGCCCGTAGCCACAGTGGGGGCATCTCGGGGCCACGCCCCCTTAATTAACTGCCACGCCCCACAAAATACACTCCCCCAAATTATACTTTTTTAAAAAAATTAAATTTAGCCGTAGCGCACCGCATTATTATTCCTTTTTCTCTCTCTCATCCCCTGCCCCACAGAATTCCCAACACCAGTGTTCCCTCTAAGCTGAGTTAGTGTGAGCTAGCTCAGTCTTTTAGCCTCCGGCTCACACACGCCCCCTTAATTAACTGCCACGCCCCACAAAATACACTCCCCCAAATTATACTTTTTTAAAAAATCTAAATTTAGCCGTAGCGCACCGCATTATTCTTCTTATTTCTCTCCCTCATCCCCCACCCTCCCCTGCCCCACAGAATTCCCAACACCCCACCACCCCAAATTTTCTGGCCACACCCATTTTCCAACATGTTGGTGTGTGTTCAAAAGTGGCATTCCTCCTCCCCCACCACCACCACGTACCGCTGAGAGTGGTACAGGTCTTTCTACCATTTCAAAACCCATCTTGTTCAGTCATCTGCACGCACCTGGACTCCCATCATGTGCAGCACCTGACACTCAAGAGATGCCAGGACTCAATCCATGGGAAGTGGATGGGTGGGGGACACAGTCCCTTCCTTCCGCAGGCCCTATGGCAAGGAAGAGGACCCTTTGATTCCCCCCTCCCCTGCCAAGCGGCAGCCCTTCAATCAAATTGGTCCATCATATTAACAGAGTTTTTAAAAGCTTTTCATTGATAAACGGAACAAATTTAGAGTCCAGTGGCACTTTTAAGACCAACAAAGGTTTATTCAAGGTACGAGCTGGATGCTCATACCTTGAATAAGACTTTGTTGGTCTTCAAGGTGCCACTGGACTCCTAAATTTGTTCTCCTGCTTCAGACCACCACGGCTGACTACCTGGATTGATAAGCGGAGGCTGCAAGGCATCGAACAGCATTTTTTTTTAATAAGTTATTTCCCAGAATCGAATGTGCCCAGTGTGGGTGTAACAATGAAAGTCAGCTTTCTTCCAAACAACCGCCTATTCATATGCAAATGTCGCGTCTCCTCATTCAGTTCATTAATACCCCTACTATTAATTGACCAAGATAATTGGGAGCCAGCCCACTCCCTTCTAAACCCAACTTAACATGAGCTCGTGCAGTGCATGCTGGGAATCGCCAATGGGAACTGGCACCTATTAGCCTGGTAACAAGGAAGCCATTGAGGGATATTAAGGAGCATTAGAAGGAGGTGGCAAGTTTGAGGCAGGAATGGGGACAAAGGTAATCAGGTCAGCCACCAGTAAAGTCTGCATTGGCTAATGATCAATTAGTTGTGTATGCGGGGAGGGAGTCATGGCAGTTTTTGAACCCAGGGCTCCAGTTCTTGGCATTCCTAATCAGCCATTTACAGGCTTCTCCCTCTACCCCATTAGCCTGCTCAGACGCGAGGTCCATATGGCTGCTAAATCCTCTCCCCCACCACCACCACTGCTGGCGACTGGCTGCCTGCCAGATGGCATTGAGGGAGGGGTCTGGGGTGGGGGAGGCAGGCAGAATGTTGATCCTGCCATGGAAGTCCTGCAGATACAAAATTAGTCTTGAGGCTCGGGTTCAAATCCTTAACTGTGAATCGGGTGTGTGTGTGTGTGTGTGTTGGGAAAAGAGATCCAGCATCCCAGGGCTTCAGCTTCCCCTGATGTGAGATCAGATTTTCAAGGATGAACAAGAGGAGATGGGCAGGGGGGGTTGGCGACATGTTCACCACCTTCTTAACAGCCTCCCTGTGCTTTATGGTTTGGGCACAGGTCCAGGGTTAACAAATTATATATAAATGCATTAAAAGTTCGTTATAGGAAGAGGCGGCTGCATTCTTCTAAATTTGAGATCAAACATCATTACATTTGTAAGAGCGTGGGGGGGAAGTCAGAGATTCCTGTGTAATCCCCCTCCCATTTCCACAAAACGTGCTAAGAGATCGGAAGGAGGAAATTTAAACCAGATTCTGTCCCACCTCTTCCTGGGGGGAGAGAAATGGGGTAGGGAGGGGTTAGAATAAGTTTCCCAAAACATGTGCAACACAGGCAGGGGCCCAGCCAAAAGGATTATGTCCCAATGACCTTAAATGACCTTCACCACAAAATGTAAAAGTAAAGAGAATGTCCTTTGTCTCACACCCATGCACACAGCCTCCGCTGCAATTTTGAGGACAGGGAAGGAGGAGTTGGGCAGATCGATAGGATCTTATCCGCTTTCGGGATCTGGAGGGAAAAAATGGAAGATTACACAGGAGGCGGAATGAATGGGGCATTTGTAGGGCTGGTCGTTTAACAGTACACAGGAAACAGAAAAGAGACTGTACTGGAATCAGTGTCCAAGAAGAGGGATAAGAGGGGGAGGGTGGGCACATATACCCCATTATTGCCAACCCCACAGGAGGAGCACGGATGAGTCCTTTCAGCACTATGCTGGTCGATACTGGGGTGAACAGACCAAAGTTTGATTCTGGTCCAGGTAACGGTTCCTCTTTAAAAGGGTGCAGGGTGGAATCAAAGCTAAAGATTATTTTGGATGCATGCAGTCACGGGTAAGTAAGAGCCCCAATACCCAAAAATTCAAGCAGGGGAGAGAAGGAGGTGTTATTAAAGTAAGGATGGGGGCCAACCACTATATGGGGTGCAGAAATGAAAGGTTTACCTCTGCAAAAAAAACCAAACCCAACGGAACCTTAAAGCGAGGGACCCACAGTTGGCCACATGGGCATATTATTAGTGATTAGGGAGACATGATGGCTGGAGGGGAAAACCCCATTTGAGAGATTAGATTAATCATGTAGTTGATTGTGAACCCAAAATCAGATTAAGTAGGATGGGTGTCCCTGCTGCAGGGGGCTAAACCGATTTGGAGTCCCTGGTTAGGGCTACCTGGTACTGAATGACAAAAGAATTGCAGCCAGGGAGGCGGGTGCACCTGTACACCTGATGGGGGAGCTATAATATGATGATACTGGGTGGGGGCAGAAGGGAGGGGGCTGCCAGCAAGCTGTATGAGTCACTCTAGGGGCTGGGTTATAGGGAGACGGTTACAAGATGTGGGGCCAGATATATTGGGTATGTACGCAAACAGGGTTAGGGAAGCAAAAAAGGTTTTTATCAGTGGCATCTAAAAGAGTCAGGGATGGTTTATGGGGACATAACAGCTGCAAACTGGGCTCTGGATTTCTTTTTTTTGGGGGGGGGACTGTCAATAAAATCCAAGGATGCCTACCTAGCCATTCCCCTTTGTCCTAAATTAGTTCCTTTGTACTGTTGCAACCGGTGAGATAATGAAATAAAGAAGCCCCACCCCAAAAAGTCAGAAGTGAGCAGTACCAACAGCTGGGAAGCAGGGGGTGTGTGTTTCTGCCTTATGGGGTGACAGATGATGCTGGGAGCCTGCTGTCTTGGACCCCTTCCTCTCCCTTCCACCCTTCTCTCTCAGGAGGTATAGTGCGATCCCAAGCACAGTTAGGTACGCCCCTAAATCCACTGAAGTCAAAGTGGATTTTGACTGCCCCTTTGTAAGCAGCTCGGGACAGAGACTTGTCTTCATACTAGTAAGGATGGAGGAGGAGGAGGCACTTAGGAGTCCAGGAGCAAGCCAGCGCGTATCCAGGCACCATACAGACTATGGACCGATCTGGGGTTCTATAAGGGTGGGTCCGGCTTGGAGAGACAGTAGGGCGGAAGAACATGGGGGATCAGGCCTGTAGAGGGAATGGCTTTATTTGGGGGGGGGGGTGGTAGCCACGTTGTTCTGCAGGCACCCCAGGAGCCCCTCAGAGACCCAGCAGTGGCTGCCCGGGGCCAGGGCTCTCTTGGTCAGGCACCCGAAGGAAGGGAGCGCTGACTCTCTTGGAAGGTCCCGTAGCCCCACAGTGTCTGGTTGCTCTCTTCCGGGACTCTCGGATCCAGCTCCTCTTCGTGACAGACATCGGGAAAGCGGTTGGGCTGCCTCTCGCATGGCTGCGGAGTTGAAACCATTGCAGACCGTGCTAAATAGAACACTGCAG